GATTAAAGGTTTTAAAGCGTTCTTCGAGTTGCAATTTTGTTTGGGAGAGATCTTTGCTTCTTGAATTTTCTTGTGCGGTTTCACAATTGTAGTACATTATCATTATTTTGGATATATATACACGTTGAAACCGGTGAAGCAAGTAGATCCCTTGTGGGATATAACTCCCTAGACATATGATCCAAAAAACCACTTAAACTACTCTCTTATAAAAGTAAGGCTTAGGAGACGTATAGGAGGTAAGTACGAAGAAATAGATTGTTATATTTGACCTAAACACCTTCTCCCCAGAAAACGGAATACTACCTTAAGAAAAATGGACCGACATACTTTATTATTTATTTTAAGATATTTTCAAGAAGATGGCCCCATTATTGAAATTTTCTTTGTGTAAATCAAAGATGAAAAGACCCTTGTAAACCCCGTCCTCGACTTCGGCATTATATTTCGTAGCGTATTGTATTTTTCATAACAAACCCTTGACGCGTTTCCTTTGTTTAAGATTCTAAAATGTACCAAAATCATTCTCTAGAGAATGTCAAGACAAAAGAAATTGTGGATTGAAATACAAAACGAGATATGCATTATTAAAAAGCCTCTAGCACAGGTGGTGAGAAGAAACAGCCGACGCGACTAAGTGAACTGGAGACAAAGGAACAGTTAAACGGGCCAGACAAAGGAACACTGGAAATATAATTAATTTCAGAGGAAGACACAGAACTGTCATCTCACCATATAGTTGACTTTTATTGTCTGGTCATTGAGTATCCAGTACATTCTTTAGCCTTCAAAAATTGCTTTTTCCTTCAAAGTTTTGTCCTTAAAACATTAAAATGTCCGATTTTCTTCGTGCCCACCAAGACATTTTAAAACACAAATAATTTTGTAAATTGAAGCGTTGTTGTACAATTAAAGCTTACAGAGAAAATTCAAACAAAACTTTACTCTTTAAAGTTCCATGTTATTCTTATGGAGAAAAAGAAAACCGTCGTAGTTTGCTTGTTTATGGGTATATCATTTTATGTTAATCAAATTTGTCAAATTTATTTATACTATATTATAAATACTATAAATATTTAGTAAAAAAATGTGTTACCTTCCCCTTATCAACACAACGAGTACTCGTCGAATCTAATGTTATTTGAATGTGGAATGAAATGACTTGTTTATGGAAATGTTTTAGTTAAAAATCAGACAAATTGAAATTTGCTTAGTCTGTAGGTTTTCTGGGGCAAGGGCATTTAAAAAAAGATAAAAAATAAAATCTCATTAGAATATTACAACTTGACAAAACACTCAATATGCGAGGGTAAAAAAGTTATCATACCGTTAATTCTATCACTAGCTCCATATCTGCTTAAAATGTGTTTTTACTTTGTTATAATATGTGTTAGTACTCCTTAAGCCCTAGGTTGTTAATTGTTCTGGTAAATATAAAAGTGCGATTGTTTTGTAAATAGATTAACCAATGTGCATGTATATTCTCTTGTTAGTTTAGTGTTACAAAGTAATGAACTGAGCCAACCATAGATGTATATAGGTGAATATTATATCGGTGAATATTGTTACGATATAGGTCCATTATATCGTTTCTTGTTGTAAATAGGTATAGTTCATGCAACAAAACAGACAAATAATAGTATAGTCCTTTAATCTTTGGTTGTATGTATTTCTTAGGACATTTATTTTTGCGATATTTATTAATAAAACATAAACAGATTAAATTTACGTTGGAATAAGAAAGACTTTAAGTTATCATAGACATTGAATATTTCGGTTTACTGCTCAAATTTGTATTATCTTTCTTGCTTCATAAGAAATTGACCGATTGGCATTAATATAAAATTTTGCTAGCGTAAAACTCAAATTTCATTAGATGGATATTTTTGCAATCGATAATTTTAATTTCAATCAATGTAACGAATATTTTCAATAGTTGATATTGTTTATTTCCATTTACAGAAATATTCGTAAACATATATAAAAAATAATCACGACCAGGCTTAAGATAACTTAGTCAATCCGTAATACTGTACTAATAGCAAAACTATCATTACATGTACGTAGCAATATTAATACGTTTGGCAGCTTACATGAGACCACGTATTAACTTAGACCATAAATTACGCTCGGAATCAGGGGTTTAAACTAAATGTCACACAACAGTAAATCCTCCGTGGTCCAATCCTTGCACTAAATATATTACAGTACAACTAATGACAACATGTATTACCAGTGAATGAAATAATTACAAATAGTGAAATCAAAAACCATCGATCGAATAAGTTATGGAGACAAAAGTACGTATTTTAGTATTGGAGATGACTTTTCCGTTACAAATAATAACTGAACTTTACGGAATTGATTTGATTTCGATTTTGGCTAGTCATTAGTGATAAATAACTTCAATATTAGGTCCAACAGTATGTTGAAAATAGTAAACTTTCATCGATAGTTAACAAAACCAAATGCTCAAGCTTGTGTGTGAATAAGTTGTAAAGACACGTAAACATTGCCGTTGTATTGATTGCAAAATATGACTTCGTGACCAATGTAAATTTTTGTTTTTGAGACCGAAGAATTAAAATATACTGTTAGGTTAGCTCTAAGTGTACGTGTCATAAAGCATGATAGATTTTATCCAAGTTTTATTCCGTTTAAGTACATTTTCAAACCAATATCTATTTGAATAAATTTACAACCATCCCAAGGAAATTACTTTATTTTTATCATGAGATATTAAAGTTTGGTCAACACGAAACAACTTTGTTCTCCAGAACAGCAAATTCTTTCCTGCATTCTTTACTGGGCGTGAATCTTTAGGTAAACTACCTTCAATTGTGAACAGGTTTGCATACAAAATCATTGAAGCAACTAGGTATTCATTTAGTTTGCATGTTGGCCGATTTAGAGATATTTTAATTTTAATTTTGTTTAAATAAACAAAATTGCACGCTTCAATAATTGCTGATGGTGTCAATTATTATTTTCAAATCATGGCTTTTAAATATGACCATGCAGGTTTTACAAACAAAACAGGGGGAATACGCTATTTTATGTTATAGAATATTACATATTTAAAACATAAAACCTACTGTGGGATTAAGTTTTTTATCGTTTTGTTTAATAAACAATTGGCCTAACGGCAATAATTGTAAATATGTATAGTAGTAATAAATAAATGTATCATCGAGAATGGTTATCCTTGCTAGTTACCTTACCTCATGGTCCATTTTGCCTGTGCTCAAAAGATGTTTTGTTTTTATATAAATTTGAAAATTTGGCATAAATTAGCAGTCAAAGTTATAAGAGAATTGTTTTACAGCCCTTTAAAATATTGAGCACCAGATATGAACGACAATCTTCATAAGGGTTTACGGTAAAATATTTGATTTTTTCCCACTACGCCAATTAACACACTGAAATGATATACAACTCGAAAAATATACAATGTATACACCGTAAATACGCTGTTATCTTATTTATGTAATCTAATCTCTCAACTACAAAATAAATTCAACTTTCAACACAAATCAGATTTGATATACTAAAGGGAATGTAGAAAACTTAACAACCGTACTTCTGTATTCAAATGACCTAAGTGTTTCAAATCGGAATAGTTTAAGCTTAAATAATATTTTATGAGCCAACTCCTTTAAAGAAAATGGGGAATATGGTAGCTATAGAACATGTAAATATAAAGCTTTATGTGACATTGAAGGCGAGGGTCTAGAGTACATTCACTTCAACTTAAGTGAACCTCATAACCTCAAGTCCTCATCACGGGGACGTGTAAAAACCTTAAAGTTTGTCCCCATTGACGTTCACCATAAACCCCATAGAAAATTGATCATGTTTGAGCAGAAATGTCTGTATTTTTGCTCTTGAAACATCTATCAGTTGAATAATATTACAACACCTTTTTTTGTTAAACAATAGTTTGGCTCATAACGTTTTAGGAAAATGCAAGAGATTTATAACCAAGCTTTTGTTTTACTTCTTTTTCACTATATTTACATGGGTAAATTACATTACAAAGTATTGGGTTAGGGTGTGTGTGTTAGTCCCAAGTCTTGATTAGGTAGGAAAGGAATACGTTTAATGATTAGTATTTTACTTTTTATTTTTCTGTGGGCGCTTGCTGAATCCATAAATGAATTCAAGTTATTATGTCGAAGCGATCAACCAACGTCAAAAAACAAATGTAACTAGGAGTTGTGAATTTGGTAGGCCTACTTATTATTGCATTTTCGTAAACTTTTTTTTAATTAGAACTTATCTACTGTTACGAGCTAGCTGCGTCTGGTAAGTGAGGCGAATAAAGTTTTATTTTTACTGTTTAATATCGTAAAAATGTCAATTGTGTTTCTTGTTAAAATCATTAATGCAAATTTGTTTACAGGAACACGTTTTTCCTACATTTAGCCTTAGCAGTTTATCGTATAGTATGTTATTGAGGCCATTTAGTAGTGTACAGCCTTAACTTCTCGCCTGATTTGTTAGCGTTAGCTAGATATTACAATTAATCTATATTGTTTAACTCAAATTCCTTAAGCATGTTTCTATGACAACAAAATTAAACAAAACAGGCTTCACAACACAATGTAAGCAATACATGCATCTCCTCCATTTTAAATTATTGTTTTCACATAAGGTTACAATGGGGGCTTAATACAGTGTTTATGGCTTAGACACTATATTGTAGTTTCCCCGAAGATGCGTTAATGCAACTGATCCAAAACGTCGGCCACCGTATTTGTCAACCCAACCTCGCCGACACATCTCTCAAAATGTTCAACAGATACACTGAAACCCTAAAAAAACCTATGATTACATATAACTAGAAAACGAGTGAGTTTAGGACATGTGCCTTATGGACATTTTTTTCAGTTTTGACCCCAGGAACAATTTCCTGAAGTTTGTCAGGGTTCCCGTGAAACACTCTGAAGATTAAAGGTAGACATGTAGGAAATGTAGAAAAGTAAGAGGTAGTACTGTACCTTTCCAAGGTCACGATGCGACGCACGGATTGGTCAGCCCCGATGCGCTTCCATCCCCTGAAACAAATATAAAGCTTAACAAAAATATATTGTGTCTTCCTGATAGGCCAAGTGACTTTAGGCCAAGTGTAAGTGCCATTTAGTTATGAACCTGAAAATACTTAGTTTAACAATGTAACTGGCAAGTCACTGGGTACTAGGGTGTACTTCGATAGGGATATGTTTACTACTGTTTAGTAGGTGTTACACGTCAAGTCTCAGATTTATAAATGGGTGTAAAGAGAGGTGCAAATACGTTGAATGATGTAAGGCTTTACAGGGTCAATGGTTTCCCAACCAAACTTATAACGAGCAGAGGCAAATCCTCGTTCGTTGTAAATCCAATGTAATTATATTTCAAGTCAGACATCCAAGCACCATTAGCGCAATTTCAAGTTTTGTATAGAGATGTTAATGTCGAATAGCCTAGAGCGTTAAATTTGGGAGGAAATAGTAATGTAATTATAGCATATTTGTAACACCGTGGTATTTGACGAAACTCTATACACTGGACTAATGCTTTATTTTGAACCAGAAAACAAACTTAAGTAAATAGGTGTTGAGAAGAACAACACAACAGTTAATTAATTCATTGTCCTGTTCTAATTCAAAACGTTTAAATGCTCCTCTGGATTACAACAAAGCGAAAATGAACATTTAACCAAAACCAAGACAATATGATGATACATAATACACTTTAGTTAATACTATGTATCTACAGAAGGCACTATGCGGAAGTTGTTTAATAATACAAAATATCTAGTACAATACAAGTCACTGGTAAAAAGTTATATAAACGGCCTGTTAAGCAGAAGCCCTTCATATATAATAACAAAGGGGAGCTTTTTCATATCTAATTTTCTTAGTTAATTTATGTAAAGACAAAAGTACACTAAGTCTGATACATCACAAATATATGTAATATTTACGACTTTTAAACACTCAAACCTGAATAACAATAAAATTAATACGTTATTCAAATGTCCGTGAAAGTGTGAAAGAGATTTATCGGTCGGCTTGAGCGAAGCCTGACATCTCAAATCCAATAGTGCCAACCTTGTAAACAGCGAGATAAGTGGACAGGTTGGCACCACTGAGGCTTCTATTCCCCACAAAGAGCTTGAGTGAATTCTCAGAACAGCAGAGAAATATGTGGGTTATTTTATTTCAAATATAATAACTCAGCTGATACAATAATGATGTTTGTTGTTATCATATGTTTATTGTTGTTGTTTGTTTTATCATAAAGGTAAAAGGTGTTTGAAAGTCAGTGTCAAAGATTTTAAGGCATTATTATGCACAAAAAAATATATAAAAATACACAACTCGGGTAGTTATAATTGACTCCTCTTTATGGAAGGAGCCAATTTTAGATTTTTAAAAATTCCTTTAAAAATGTCACTTGCAATGACCCCCTAAACTCCTACCATTATTTGTTTTTTTTTTCTTCTTTTGCGTTACTTAATTATTCGGTGAAACGTGTGCTTTTCTCGCTACAGTCACCTTCAAGCGCGTCGTACTCTTTGTGTTTTTTTACTAGCTATTATTTAGAACACAAAATCCATTCTTAATAGTTGTCACTCGTTCACGAAGAATATTTAGGTCATGGACATGTTCTTTGGTTACATTATTAGTGTAATTTAGCTTTGATAGAAAATTGGACTCATATTGATAAGGGATCAAATGTTGCTGGGGAGCAACATTCTACTTCACAGGAAAAGTTGGTTGCAATTTCAATTACATAATCTTCGATGTAAAAATACTGCAAATAACATCGAGAAGTACCTAGTTACTTGAGTTTTAGTCAAATATTAAAATAAAAAGTTCCTAATAAATATCATAAACTATGATTAAGGTATGAACAGAAAATTCTCAACAAATGCATAAAAAGATTAACGATAGTAAACTAACATCTAATTGATAGACATTTGAATCTATTTTTTAAAATGCACGATAAAAATGATAAAAATTACAAAACATTTATTTTAAATTTAAATAAAAATACAGAACTTAAAAATAAGAGGAGTATTAAGTGAATTAAATAATACATAGACACGTATTGATTAAAAACATTTATTACATTTTTATAAAATTATATAACAAAATAAATGCCCCTACACTCTGCAGTGACAAAGCAGATATGCCTGTAAGTTGCAGGTGTATAAATGAAGGCGCTACAAAACTACGCATAGGCTGATGCACTTGCACTTGCATTTGCACAGTTATGTTACAATACAACTGAGCAGGAGAAATAACCACGGACTATAAGGACAAGCCAGGCTTCTAAAAGCCTGTAAACTTGTAAAGAGCACTAGGCTTTTTCAGTATGCTGAGTTTATTTTTAATGCTATGCTAAGCTTTCTGTGTTCATCAGCATTACCCAACCACATGGCTTTGTTCTTTGTGTAAAATATCATTTGATTCAGCCAATCATTAAACATGAGTAAACCATATTTTAGCGAACGCAGAAACAAAACTATTGCATATCAGCTGCTCCTCAATTCCTTTGTTGGACGATTTTCCAAGGCTTCAAATTCACAACTCAAGAGCCATATAATAGTATCATTTATATCCGACTAAGTATATGTTATTACATTACTTTGCATGTTTTTACCTTTCCGCTTATTCCTGGTCTTAATTGTGATTCATTTAGGTATTGGTAGTTAGCCTTACTGACACCATTGCTTATAAAACTGTATACACCATTGTATATCATTGTATACACCATTGCTGTATAAAATGATGACAAAATTACATTCGTGCTACTTGGAACGTTTACAGTATACTTTATCAGAAAATCCCTCTTCCAGTTCAATATCCTATACTGCTAATATTCGAGTAAACATTGAGAGTACAATGGTTTCAGAAACGGTTTCAACAATTTCCTCTAAACTGTTGGAAACATCTTAGTTTTGGGATAAAAGTAATATGAAAGCACATGAAAGTCTCTGTTCTAAAAATATACCTAATTCTGTCAAAACTTAAATTTTAACATGGACCTATTGGTTGGACTGCTAGGTATGAATTGGCAACGAAAAACAACACAAAATAATCATACCTTGGACTTTGTAATTGTTTAGTGTTGAAAATTTTGAGTGCACTTATGCCGACTAAACACTTCTATTACTGAAATATAAAAAATCCTAATTATCTTTTGTGAATTGAATAAAAACAAACAATTAAATTCAGTAGTTTGAAATTAACCACTTAAACAACCACATCTGTTGAACAATTGTTTATCCAAAACTATTAATAGGCTCTTGGATATCTATGCGCTTTGGAGAAATATTTATCTTAATACAGGGAGAATTTCCATAAGTACTGTACGATTAGGTGGCTATAGACTATTCAAAAAGCAGAGCAATGCCCCACCCCTAATATTTAGAGAAATATGTTTCACCTGATGTTGGACAGATTATTTTTTTCCAAAAATAAGACAGCGTAAAACCAACAATCACATAAGACCGAAGAAGTATTAATGTTTGTGTATAAATGAAACTGTCTGCGTATAGGGTTAAATTGATAAGCATATCCGGTATTCTGAAGAGTAGAATGGCTGTTTTCTGCGTTCAGCGAATCCATGTCGTCACAGGAAGCGCAGCGGCGCCGTCTGCGTCTGGCAGATGATAACGCACTGTGCGGTACACTGTGCTTTGGCGTGGTTGTTACCGAGGTTTCCAGTTAGCCGGTCCTGTCTTCTCATCACCCTGACTCTGTCACTGTCAGTGGAGCACAAACGAAAGAGATCTCTGTTCATTTAATTGATTAGTGTAATTAGGGTTTGTAGTTGTTTGGTGCTATACACGAAATGGGATTTGCTAATTGCATGTAGGCCTATCCTGGAAATGGCACCAAAATATTAATGTGCTGTTATTTTTACAAAAAAATCTAAAATTTAAAATTGTAAATTAATTACTTACATACTCTCTTATGTACTTGAAACGACTAGGTATTTTCTGGGTCCATCGTAAATAGTATGAATATTTACAATCCTGCCAATATGTAAGAAAAAAAGATAAAGAATTGTTGGATTCAACATGAAATATTTATGAAAATAAAATGGTCATTACTTGAGTTTCTAATCCCTAAAATATAAACATTTTCCAACAATTGCCCCTCTCACTTGACCTTTTGCTGACTAATGAAACAGCTGATTGTAAATTAAGTTACAAACCTACACAGATAATTTCATCCCATTCTACACTCATCTCGCATTCATTATCAGCATAAAAGGCACCCAATGTGCCGTTGTCATAGAATTGAATTGATCATTTATGATCCCTAGATTCCTGGTCCCCCCTGTCTGAAATTTTAAGACATACAATTTTCTCTACGATTTTTAACTCATTATATTTAGCTCAAAATTTAACAGCGGCTTTATAGTTTTTATTTGAAATGTATTGGCTTCACACTTTATTTGCAACGTATTTCATAAGATCTAAAAAAATACATTTCGTTCATGAAAGCCCTGGTAACCGGTAGCCTCGGACATAGTCAGCTCTCCTTTATCCCTCAGGAGCATTGTTGCGTCATTGCAAGACAGCTGGCTAAACGCTGCTAGTGTCTTCTCACTGTTTTGTTCTACGATTATCATTTTTCGTGTTGTAGTCTCTTTGGAAGCGTTGGTTCAACCTATTCGGAATAGATAAGGCAATTGGCCTTAGAAACAACAACCAGGCAGAAGAGACAACCACAATTTAAGAATACGAAGTAGCTGAGAAGAATATAATGCGTGTAGAAAGAGAAATATACCTATATTAGAAATAGACACATCATAAATAACTATACAACAACGCATATCAGCTGATCGGCAGCTGAGAATCGGAAGTAAAGGTAACCAAGTTAAATTGTTGGGTCATTAAAATGCGACTCATAGTACTTGCGTAAAAAACCCTGTAGTTATTAGGCTTGACTCTGTTCCACAGCTAAATGAAAACTGAGAACTAAAGGGATGTTCATTGAGGAATAAAAGTATAATTGAGATTGCTCTTTATCTTGAACATCTGTAATCAATGGCA